GTTTACCTTCTCAAAAGTAAATAGGGAACAATCAACAGATCAATACTGGAACATATTGTTGATTATGGTTACATAGAATAATATTTTTAAAAATTAACTGTGTGATCAAAATATTTGACTTAAAAGGAGCAGACTTACTAATGTATTGTAGAGAGTTAAGAAATTCTTTGTTACAAACGTGATATCTGTTTATGATCATTAATTAATGTTAACAGATAGACAAATTATTTTCCTTTTTACACGTCAACAAACATCATTGATCTAAAACTGTATTACATAACAAAGATTTCATTAAACATAAAACCCTAGCTGATAGAGTCTCTTGTAATTTAACAAACATATGGAATGGTATATTATCAGAAATATCTGTTCAATATATATCATAACTGTCAAAGCTTGAGTTACGAAAATAAAAATTAACAGATTAAGTCTATAAATTAATTAAGTAAACAAGTACACGACTACAGACAAGATATCTCACCAAAATCTGAGAACCATATAGTAAATAATAAGAACTTTCGTGTAAATTAAAGCGAATAGTTTCACAGTATTTGAGCGCCGAGTTGATGTAGGACATTAAATAGGAATAATATATTTATAATTCCTTGAGAAAGCTTGGACCAGATTGCCAGGCGAAACGTTGAATTTACTTCAAATTCATTCGCTGAGATTTAACAAATATATTATTCCTATTTAATGTCATATAGTAAATAGGTAATCTGCAAAATAACAATTCATCGTCTCAAATGTGTTTATTCCTTTTGCAAATATCAATCCATTGTCTCAAATTTCATTGTTCATGCATTTTCATACCAACTGCATTCCGTTCCCGTTCTTTCCTTATCAATCTTCTACTGAGATACATTTTATGCCTGACAATCGTTATATACTACTTATATGGATATAAGTAACTCATACCACAGTACAACATATATCAATATGATTAAAATACTTGTTGTTATGTTATATCCGTTTCCTAAATTCCAATGAATTTCAATGTTTAACACTATCATTTATTTTATAGATTTTTTTTGTTAGATTGTCCAACATAAAAAGAAAAAACTTTTAATTTAAGAATTTTTTTTGTTTTTTATGTTTAACATTAATTACTCTTATGATTGAAAAATGAATTCGTTGTATGTTTCTTAGAGTAAAAACTTCAAGACAATAATGTATTGATATTGTTATTAACTTTTAGGAAATGTAATAAGAATTTTTCTTTTCTCTAGTAAATAATTTCAATTATTTGTAAAACTAATGCACAATGAATATCAGCTATTTCACTGCAATGACAATAGTTAAATGTAACAGTTAAATTATAAGCAAAGATGGTTAGTGGCTAGCAGTGGAATCCTGGATGCACATCACTTAATCCTATTTGAGACTCATCAGCTAGATGTACTTGCATCTCAGAGTTGATGTTCACTCTGGGACTCGAACGTAGTACCGTTCGTTTCAAACGTCATCGCATTACGTACTCAGCTATTTTTGACATTATTTTTTCTTATTATTAACAAGATATAAATCTACATACTTAAAATCATTCCTCATTCAGTTAAAACAATATATTATCTGCAAATGAAAGGAACATATTGAAACATATTCTATTTACATGATTATTACATGCAATTAAATTATAAACCATTGAAATTTATTTTATCTAAAAATTTATCAACTTGGATTATTACATTTCACCGTGTCATAGGAAATGAAATAAAGTTAATATTCTAGGAATGAAATGAATATTTGTATGATATACTGTATAATATACTGGATTATGTTATCAGTTCTCGCTATCTTCTTTTTTCAAAAATAATAAATTAAATTTAAGATATAAACTACTGACTTAACTTTAATAGAATGTTTTACTGTTTAATATTTTACAAACAGTCATCATTTAAATTGATTGTCTACATTCTTATCCATTGAATAATAATAAGTAATTTGTTGAAAAACATTTAGAAATGTTTTAATGAAGGGTAAAGCTGAAAATATGTTTCTGTTTTATCAGAAATTTGTGTCGGAGAAAGAAAACAAAATCCATTTAGGCAGTGAGAACATTCTTATTTCTAGTTGGAGATTTTACGGGAATTGAAAATGTGAATTATGGTATCTCTGTTCAATGTTATGTATAAACTAGTTTAAAAATCGAAATCTGAAGGTTCTTCACTTAAGCAAATGTGCATTTTTTTAACAGTCTTAAATCTATTCATTGATCTTGAGATTATAATGATTTACTAGGTGATGTTTGTATGTTCGATATGATGTTATCTATCAAATCGATAGTTCCTCTAGGGTTGATAATGATGAAATGAATGTATACTTTTGTAACTAATCTATAATTGTGAAACATTTAATTAAGATTAAACAATTAACACAATAACCCTTACTAATGCTTAACACTAACTAACTGTGAATATCGAAGAATATATTTTTTAGAAAATGGTCGAACATTTTTCTATTAATTTTAATGTTTTAATTATGAATTGTCTTTGTTTAACATTCAATAAATGAATCTTTTGTATTAATAAACTAGGTGATAATAAATTTTTTTTATAAATATGAGCTCAGTGAAAGGATCTCTTTTCAACGAATTTATTATCAAGCTGTAATATCGTATATACGTAGTTCCATGAAGAAATGTAAACAAGGAATAATCAAGATGATGAAATAAGCTTACCCGTCTGATCGCCTCCATATGCACCCCATCGCATAAGGAAGTGGCTATCAGGACTCAGTACATAACGCGATGGCGTTTGAAACGAACGGTACTGGATTCGATTCTCAAAGTGGGCATCAACTCTGAGATGCAAACACATCCACCTGAAGAGTCCCAACTAAGATGAAACGCGCGTCCTGGATTCCACTCCTAGCTACTATCCATCTTTGCTTATAAGCAATATAGTCTTGCATGAACCCCGTATCCTTAAATAGACTGGTTATGCTGGAACTGATTATCGATATAAAAAAATCTTAAACCTAAAACTTGGAAAAATAGTTCTCTGGAATACGCTTATTTAATAAGTTTGAAAGTTCAATGAAGTCAACATTTACATTAAGCAACAATCGAAATTAAACTTAGCACTCTCAGTATATTTTTCAAAATATCACCATGCATCACATAATACAGAAATCAGTTTTGAACGACTTTGCTGTGACATAAGTTTGATCCATATCATATTGATCCTTTCAATTGATCAGTTAATTTATTCTATCAATAATCTAAATATTATTCCTATCTGGCTGTAATACAGCTTATACTAACTTTATAGCCAAGAAAACATGTTATCCGATAGATAATATATATTATCTTCATCAATATCTTCATTTTATGGATATTTATCCTTTATATTCAACAGGTACTATTTACTTCATACTAATCCCTTTTGTCACTAATCTCCATAACAATGATTTATCAGTTTATTATTATAAAATGAAAGATTTTGTCGATAAATAACAAAGTCAGTAGACAATATGATTTTGAGGAAATAATATCATGATTGAATTATATTTGTGAATTCAGACATATGTAAGCACTTGTATGAGTTTCCCTTTACTTAATTTCCTTCATAAACTTTCAATGTGTAGGCAAATCTAACCAAATTCTCAACTCTTATTATTGATACCATGTGTTAATGAAGACACAAAATGAAACGGATAAATAAGTTATGTTATTTGATAATACATAATGAGATAAAGCCCTTTTAAAAAATGTGTTAATAATATAAAGACTCTATTACCGAAACTATTAGTTACTACTTGAAATATTTGTCTAATAACGTTTGATGGCTCTCAGAAATGTTTTTTATTAAAGTTTACTTTTTGCTATCAAGGTTGAATAGACTATAAACTTGAGTTTAAAATAACTGACGCAAGCTGTGAATCGATTATGAAGTAAACCTTTTACATAACTGAACAGTCTACATTAAAAGTGTTCATTGCAATGACCATTTACTGAAATCGTCAGTAGGTTACGTTGCTTTTAAAAAGTCTAATTTAAAAAATGACCCACTGAAGACAGGCGAACATTTTGATTATTAATACAACCCAGGTTGGATAGTTCGATAGAGTATTTCAAATTATCAAATCTCTATCCATTGCAATTGTGTATAGAATAATTTATTTACATACTGCAACCATAATTCTGATATTATCAATTTTCGTGAGGGAAATCCTTAGACTACATATTGCTGTTTGTATTGTTCATTATAATGCTGCTTTACTCCTTTCTGTAAGCTGATTGTAGGTAATTGAGAAGAAACTTTAGACATAAATTTTGTGGTAGCTAAAACTTATCAATAAAGGGTGTCTGAAATGTTGTTGGAACTGATGCTTGTCATCAAATTCAAATTCGCGTAACTTGGCTTCTTAGTACAGAGTCCTAGAATTTTATTCCAACCACAATCGACCTCCTGTAGGATAGAGATATTTATGATTGATTGAGTAGAGATCAGTATAATGTTTCTTTATTCATTTATTGGCAGTTTAATTCTATCTATCATTCTACGGTATAGTCACTACATAATTCCTTTTGTCAAGAAGTATTTACTCATAAATAGTAGCCTGATTTCAACCGGGTCTGTTGTGAGATAGTAACTTACTGAAGACTATGGTGGACGGTGGCTCAGTTTCGTGGATCGGCTGAAGTTAGACATTAACACCGTTGGATGTCGACTCAGTCGTCTAGAGGTTAAGCGCTTGCGCGGGAGACTGATAGGTCCTTGGTTCGAATCTCGTGAGGCAGGATCGTGGATGCATACTGCTGAGGAGTCCCACAACAAGACGAAGCGGCCGTCCAGTGCTTCCAGGTTTTCCATAGTGGTCCAGCTTCAATGAACTTATGAATCCAACTCTAAAATAGATGTATTAATTTACTGTATATCGGCTTTTTTTCAGTGACCTCCATTAATGTAATACATTTTATTTCATTATTACGTTCTTTTTTATAAATTCATTATAAACAGTTCTCATTTATTAATTTCTTTTTTCATTATTTTTAGGTTAACAATGTTACTAATTTGTCTCTTAATTTTTACTTGTCTTTGTTACCGAATTATTGATTATTTCAATCGTTATGAAATGATGAAATCCCTTTTTGTATATAATAAATTTCATTTATCTAAACGATCTCCATATAAAAATAATAATGATCATGAAAATAATAAACTATTATCAATGATACCTGAAGAAGAACATAATATATCAAATTGGTTTACAATTACTTTGTGTAATTTAAATCCTATACGGTAAGTAATAATAAAATGGTATGATATATTTGATATACTCGCATGAGCTGCCGTAGTCGTTTATTTATTTGAACACATAAATGTTGGTACAAAGATGCACCAGATACATATGTGTCACACAAATCTCATTTGATTTGTTTGAGGGTTGTGATACTGTCCAGGTGTTCAAACCGAAGCAGGTGGTTTTCTTAGGGGGCTATGCTCGGAGCCTTTGACCTAAAGATCTGACCCACAAGGGAGTGGAACATCGTAAGGAGATGCAGTCTCACGGTAGCCGGTCACCAACGATTGGTTCATATGTCATCTGTTCCTTCAGGATACTGGAGCCCATGTGCATCATTTGTTTGGAATCAGGGTTTTCTAACTCCCCTAGCTGGACACTGCGCGTCCACCAACCCGGTTAAAGCGTCGGACATTCGCTCTTAATCCTCTCAATTTCGTAAATAACACCCCCGCCACGAGAAGGTAGTGAGTAGGACTTCCCTGACAGAGTCTATATACGCACGGCCATGTAAGGGCATTTGGAGGGGGAGAGTGGCTTCTCTCCACTCTCGGCCGTACCAGGGCATTTGGGGGCGTAATATTAGGGGTAATCATTAACAGATTTCCTGATAGGATTTTGAAGCTTTTTATGTAAACTCATAAGCAAAAGTGTCAGCAGGGATAATTAGCAAACTAAAATAGGAGACTTTATGACTGCATGTGCAATCTTTGAAATATGGTGGCATGGACGTCTGAGCCTGTTGCAAAACCCTTGTGCAGTTTTTCGATACATGTCAACTGCCAACAAGTGAGCGTAAGATTTAGGTTTAATTTCATTGATTAGTGAATCATCAGGGCATTTTGAATTTTGTAATGATTTATGTCTCAGCCAAGTTTTACTGATAATTATTTTCGAAGTCAATATTATAAATAAAAGTATGCCATTTCGTTCGAAGTAACTCAGTTTAGTGACCAATGATACAATAATTTAATGTTTATTAATTAGGACCTTTGGGTAAGTTGACCGGATTTCATAAGTAATCACAGCTCGGTCATACAAATTCAAATGATCAAGCATCGTATAACTATTTTGTTGGTGTATACTAATAATACGAAGAACATCTCTTCAAATACATTATTTGCTCATGACCTATTTAATCAGTACTGGAATATTTAGCATTTACGTAATGTGTAATATGTTTGTTCTAGCATAATGGAAATGAGATACTATGAAAATATTAGTCTTAAGGTAGTGACAGGTTTCCATTGTATTCGGATGCCTAACTTATGTAACGTATATCGAAATAAATAGTCGATATAATGTATCATCGATATAATATAATATATATGATATATAATATATATAGAATATATATAATGAATACAAGTCAATTAGAATACTATTACTAGTTTAGTCAATCTAATATAATTATTAGCTATATACATTTGTACACTTGGTTGAAAAAAAAACAAAGACCTGCTTTCTTGTTCACTATATGTAGGCTGATAAACTTTATTCTCAAGATGTTTGTTGCTATGTATTTACCCAGTGGTTCAGTATATTGGAAAATCTTGTTAACTAAAGAGGGTAACATTAGTTGAATGATAGTTGGAAATTTTCTCCTTTGTGAGTGAATTATATATATATATATATATATATATATATATATATATATATATATATATATATATATATATATATATATATATATATATATATGATCAGATTGTTCGAAATGTATTGCGCTAATATATCACATAGTTCTGGTAATCTTCGTCTTCTCATTACATTATCGAGATATAAAGATTATTTAGTACCACTATTTTAGCAAAACATGATTCAGTGTAGTTGGTATTATTCCCTAGACAGTTTATACGAGTGAAAGAAATGAGACTTTCTAATTTGGAAAGCTACCATAAGAAAAGAATTTATGTTGTAAGGTTAAAAATATTTAGCATACAATAAATATATATTGTTCAGTCATTAAACCACTGCGAGTAGAACTATTATATTGAGATTCCTTTCTATCAGGTTCGATAAGGCTATCAGATTGACATAACTATTCTTCTCAAAAAAACATCTGGCTAAAACCCAGGTACATATATATATCTCTGACAAAAGAATTCAATAATCCATTATTATTTAATTAAAACTAAACAGAGTTACACCGACGTGTTGTCCACTTGGCACTTAAGTTTAGATATAGATGCGTCCAGCGGATAAGTTATAAATAAAATGAAACGTGTATCCTGGATTACACTGCTAGCCATCTATACTGTGTAAAATTGTGTCAAAAGAACTATATCGAGGCCATTCACACAGAATATACATATACCAACTCATCAAAATGAAGTCAAAATATAAACGACCGGTTAATACAAACTGTTATAAATAATTATGTCAAAAAATGAAACAGGTCATTGTGCCATGCTATTTGTTAATGATGATTTTTCGATAGTGTAATAAGAAGACGAAGATTATCGGAACTATGTGATAATGTATTAGCGCAATATATTTCGAACAATCTGATAACACAAATACTTGTTAAGAACGTTTATATATAAAAATAAAAGGTCAACTAGACTGGAAATGGGAGGGAGTAAGAGTAAACAAGGAAAATAATGTGAAAACAATTTGAGACTTAATCACTCTGGATATAATGAACTCTTATTACCAGGATAGGTTTAAGGAGAGAACAAGCTGCTTTCGAATACACAAAGGGGGTTTGAATTTTCGTATGGTTAAGACTTCAATAAATCTTAGTACACAACACCACAAAAGCCGAGTTAGAATCAATTTTATGACCTGTTTCGATTATATGTTCGGCAATAGAGTATGATGGATGTTTATCCTCTACTGTTATCGGGTCATTCGATTCTATTTGTTTCTGCAACCATTTTGGTACATGTTCACACACACCATTGATGGTTATGATATGACTATAATTGTTGTCAATTATTAATTGATAAGTATACTATAATAGTTAGTAATCGCATATTTCTGCATTAACTATTTCGTCTACCTTTGATAGTTTTAAATTATTCACATTGGAAAACTAAAACAACTGTTCATTGAATCATGAATTGAATATTTTCAATCATTATTTTTCTTTATCATAGTGGAAGTGCATTATTCACTATACAAAATGGTTCAAAAATCTACGATAATATTATTAAAATACGTCAGAATGAAATAGATTTCAATGGTATAACTAAGAAAGTGAATGACAATAATGGTCTCATATCCAAAGCACTACTTAAACGGACTGGACATAAATTGAATGAAATGTTAAAATTGTAAGTAGTATATTTTCATGGTATTTAGTATGACATCACTTTTCCCTATTTTGTATTGTTGCAGAACATCAGGATGATATTACTGAAATGTTTCAAAATTATTAATTGGAAATCAAATTCTTTTTTTTAAATTGCTTGGGCTATAGCCATTAAACCTCTCAAGCCATATCTATATATTTAAATGTAAACATTGCTGAAATTTTCCTTACTACGTTTCAACACTATCTTCAATTTACTACATTACTCTTGCGAATTTCCCTTATTTTGATTGGATCATTCATGTTTCTTATAAATTCATAATTTTATTGATCTTAACTCAGGTTATGGTTAATAATTACTACCTTGTGTTCAGTTAATTCATTGTATAATCAAATGGGAGATAGCTGAGAAAAGTAAACTGACTTAATTGGTGATTAATTTAAAAAAAAGTAACTGGTATAAATTATAACAATCTGTTGAAATATAATTACTCGTAACCTCAAAAGAAAAAAAAACAAATTCGTTTTGAAATATAGACATGTAACTAAGCTGTTTTTAAAGAAATGTGTCCAAAAATTATACCTCTGTAATGAGTAGATTTTTACAACTCTTCATTCATAAAGTTACTATTTTATAATCATCAGAAGGGGTTTTGTGGAGATTTTGGTAATCTTATGGTTAAAATCATGAGTCAGTTGTAGCTAGATCACCAAGGAAAACCCGGAAGCACTGGACGGCCGCTCTGTCCTATCTTGGAACTCCTCAGCAGTGCGCATCCACGATCCCGCCTCGCGAGATTGGAACCCAAAACCTATCAGTCTCGCAAACGAACGCTTAACCTCATATGCTCATTGGTGACTGGCTTCAAGATGTATTTTCTGGAGTTCTAGTGAGAAGCAGTGAACAATGGAGTTCAACTGTGTTTGCTGTGAGATATCAACTCGCTGAAGCCAGTGGTGGACTGTAGCTCGATTTCGTGGATTGGTTGAAGTTTGACATTATCACCGTTGGATGACGGCTCAGTCGTCTAAAAGTTAAGCGCTCGTGCGCGAGACTGATAGGTTCTTGGTTCGATTCTCGAGAGGCGGGATCGTGGATATGTGCTGCTGAGGAGTCCCACACTGTGACGAAACGGTCGTTCAGTGATTTTCCATGACGGTCTAGCTTCAAATGACTCATGAACTCAACTATATTTTATAATTAACAGATAACTAGTTTAGTTTTAAACAATTGCCATTGCTGTTCTTTCCTCCTTGATTCGTTCAGCCATATTGTATTAAACTTGCTGCTCCCTCCCTAAATAATCACATTGTTGGTTGGATTTAAATGTGGGCATAGAAGTGAAAGGAAAGAAATCGATTCAAAATAATTGGGATTCATCATCTGTATGTATTTGCAAACAATATTAAGGCATCCACTCAACGAAATCATATGTCATTAGATACTGATCAAGTGAAGCCATAAATATAAACAACTGGGAAATATTTACAGTTCCTACACAATCTTGTTATTTTGAAGTAGACATTTTTATGGAGTAACTAAATTTATATAAATCACTATTTTGGCGTAATCGTACGCCTTAAATTTGTCTTACTTATGTTTTAACCTACAATTTAAAAATGTCATTATAATACAACTAACACAAAATGCATATATATGTACATATATATGCATCATTTTCAGTGACATATGTTGAGTTGTAAATTAAAGAAAATTAATCAGGTAACTTACTGTTTTTAATTCAGGAAATAGTTCGAAGTACAAAACATTTTTTAAATACTTCAAAATTAAGCAAGGAATTTGTTTCCTTTTTTAAAAATGCCTTTCAGTATTTTGATTAAATTGGTTTAAAAGTTGAATTCATGAGTCAATTAAAGGTAGACTATCATGGAAAATCTCGAAGCACTGGACGGCCGTCTCGTCCTAGCGCGGAACTCCTCAGCGTTCGCTCGAAAGACCGAAAGGTCCTCGGTCCGAAGCCCGCGAGCGGGATTGTGGATACATACTGCTGAAGAGCTCCATACTAAAACAAAACGGCCGTCCAGTGCTTCCAGGTTTTCCATGGTGGTCTAGCTTCAATTGACTAATGATTTCAATTATATAAAATTACTAAAATCTCCACAAAACCCCTTTCTGATTATAAATTATTCTAGCTTGTTATGTTAATATATTTACATGAGAATAAATTGTATTATTTTTATTTAAAAAAATGATTCAGAAATTATAAAGTATTGAAATTAGATCATGAGTTAACATTTTTAGTTCAAATATTCTGGTCAAATACTGTCAAATGGAATTTGTTTTCCTTTTCTTTTTACCTACATTTCATTTAGTTAGCCATTTAGATACATTACTGAACATATGAAAAAATATACATCAATTCAAAATGTCATATTATCAATACTGACAAAAAACCAATTAACTAGATGAAATACTAGTATGAATACTCTGGACAATAAACAAATGGAATATAAGGGTTTTTTTGTGAAGATGTTTAGTGATTTTTTATATATAGTTGAAATCATGAGACAATTGAAGCTAGACCACCATGGAAAACCTGGAAGCACTGGACGGCCGTTTTGTTTTAGTATGGAGCTCTTCAGCAGTATGTATCCACAATCCCGCTTCGCGAGATTGGAACCCAGGACCTACCAGTTTCGCACCAGAGCACTTAACCTCTAAACCACTGAGCCGTCATCCAACGGCCGTCCAGTGCTTCCAGGTTTTCCACGGTGGTCTAGCTTCAATTGACTCATGATTTCAACTATATATAGAATATAGTTTATATCGCTAGCTGATTTTAGTTAAACAAACATAGCTACAAAGAAAACACTGATTAGTATGGCCTATCTTAGTATGGAATTCCTTAGTATACTGGATCTTATAAACGTATTGAAGTATTATGCGTTTAGATTAAAATGAACTACTTATTATTCTTGTTTAAATTCCTCAGAATATAATAAAATGAGCATACCAACAATAATGTTATTCTTTCAGTATCATTATTGTTCTCAAACAAATTCTAGTAGGGAAAAAATTCAGTTCATCATACTTTTCTATACCAATGAAATAAGATTTAGTTTTGAATTTATCAGTAGCTATTTAGTTGTCATGGCTTATTTTAAAAAGACAATTTAAACTCAAAACGTGTATAGTAAAATAAGAACTATTCACAAGTCTTCTGAAATTTATTTAATGAGTTCTTTACAATATCATTACTGTATGTGATATCATTATCTGTATTATGAAAGTGATAAAGAATAAGATTGAACCACCTAATAACTGATCTAGTAGTTTTCTAGCAAAAAGACTTAGAAGTTTGTTACTAATTCATGAATAAACACTACTGAGTATTCTTAGACATTGATAAGACAAATATTTTAGTGTATTCTCGCATTCACTCAATTTGAAGTAGATACCTGTTTATAATGAAAACCTTTTCTTATTTATAAAGTGACATTTTGTTCATGAATGGTTTTCAATGATCTGAACGGATTAAAACTTACAGCTAAACAATTATTTTCGAAGTGAATCATAATTTTGTTAATTAATAGAATGAAAAGGTGAGTTCATAAAAATTAATATTATCCATCGTTCAAATCATGGACTGATCATAGCTAAGACACAATTGAAAGACTGGGAACACAGGACGTCCGTTTCGTACTAGTATAAGGTTCTTCAGCAGTGCGCATCCATTTGTCGTTTTACAAAATATAAAACATTCAATCATTTTTCATCAGATATATTTTGGAATTATTGTTCTTAATGGTGTTTTACTAGTTAAACAGTTTTTATTTTGGTTTTCGAATGACTAACGCCTCAATATGCAGTCAAGCTCACTTATTCACTACTTTCTCGAAAAAGACTTCTTTTCCCTAATATTCATGAGATCGATATGAAAATGCTTTTGGTATAACATAAGAAAAAGTTGTTTATTGGCTTCTAATGACTTTGAGATTAAAAGTAGTGCGATGGACAAACTGGAATCTACCATAAATATCATTATCAATAATAATTCATCAGTATGCATGAAAAAAATTAATTTATGGTGAAACATCTATAAAAATAATTTCTTCTTACAAGAAACAGAATTCCACACATGCCATGATGTTTAGTCAAAACTATCAGAGTGAACATAAACTCTGGGATGTAAGTACATCCATCTGACGAGTCCCAAATAGGATGAAACGTACATTTGGGATTTCACTGCTAACCACCATCCATCTTTCCTTATAATGCTTGTGAATTAAGGAAATATCAAGGCCATTCGTTCAGGATGCACATATGCCAATAAGAGACTGACCAATTGCAGTCCTAAACATCAATATGAATATTCAAACAAAAAATACAAAATAAATTAGAACTTCACCCCATTGTACAAGCAAGTGGCTATCATAAATCAATAGCTATGTGGACAACGCGATGACGTTTCAAGTGGACTGCACTGGGTTCGAGTTCCAGAGTGAAGACCAACTCTGTGGTACAGGTGTATCCAGCTGACGAGCCTCAAATTAGACAAAACGCGTGTCCTGGATTCCACTACTAGCCACCATCCATCATTGCTTAAAATCACTTTCTTTTTCAATAATATGACCTTCAAATAATCATAACCACAAGACACTTGTTTTAAAATCTTTCCAACAACATTGTACTAAGAATTATTCTAGTTTAAATATCACTATAATACTGTTAATGTATCTTCCGAAACATTCTAATATATATTATATAAATATTGGTTTCAAAATATACTGATATATAACAACTTCTAACAAGGCATATACATTATATATGTTGATCAAAGCCTTCGATTAATTATATACTGATTGAGTTAACATCTTAAAAAAATAATACCAACCTAAAACGTTACCGTCCAACTGAGATTACATCTATAAAAATATATTTTCTAGTATGAATAAATATAATCCATGAATTTTGAAGCTAACAATATTGGGATAAACTAATTCCAAGTAAACAGATAATGTATAGTTTCAATAATGACATTTGCTTAACAAACGAGATAAATACGGAGAATAAGACAAGTACTGATAGGTAAGGTAAGCTTTCTTTGTATTTTTTCAGAAAGAATATTAAAAGTTAAAATCAATATATATTCCTTTAATAGATTTTTGTTGATAAACGATTTCCGTTTCAAATGTCATAGTTATCATTTCCGGGAATATTATCTAACTATAAATTACCAGTGATATTACAGTGGGCTTTCTCATATATATATATTTCATTTATCTAAGGGTTCAATGCAATAGTTTTAGAGAAATTATTGACAAACTGGATAATATAAAATTGTTTTCAACAATTTACTATCTTTTTAGTTGTTATATTGGAAACGAAAAATGTTCACATCGAAATTTCACTTCTGTTCTAACTATATATGGACAATGTTATCGCATGAAGTTGAAACCATCAGGTGAGATATGATGTTTGTCATTTTTTGTTATAATAAAAAGGATAGTACAGAGTTATATTGGAAAAACGTTTGGTGACGTGTGATTCATTATTAAAACATCAATAATAATCATAAGTGTACACTTTTATCGCATGTAAAGAGAAGCTTAATTGGCACTGGCTTGCATTATATATATTATATATATATGAAGTGGATTACAGTAATAATCTTTCAAGTTCCCATATTCACCAGACACCCTAACCATTACATATGCTCACTTACACACTTCTTTGGTAACTACATGATCTTCATTCATTTACACAGGTACTCCAATAAGTATTTTATAAGTCACTTTAGTCCTTTTTCTGTAAAAACTATATATATATATATATATATATATATATATATATATATATACTAAATTTAATGTATAAGATTTAGTAAAACAGGAATCATTATCATTTGTAGACAGGTAATATTTCTTTAAAAAAGACCGTACATTATTGGGAACATTACGTGGGTGATATTTACCATTAGATCACATTGTCAACAAGTCCCAATACACCTAATTAATCATGTATATTTGCTCTTTATTCATTAATATTTAGAGTTTCAATAAAAGTGTATTATTCCAAAAATAGCAATAAAGTTATTACGTCCAAATGTTATTATTTTATTAACACAAATAAAAGTTAAGGGACGTTACTTAAATCAGCAGTCTGGTGAGTGTTCTGTTGAGTTTGGTACCAGAATCCACAATTATAGATAATTAATCATTTCAATGGGGTTGATATGGCTCCAGTAAGTTAGTCAAACGTAGAATACAATGGGAATGTTACAACATTCTATAAATATAGATGATAGTTAATTAATAGTTCTGTTATCACATCCACAAGCATGATAGAACGACAGGCGTGTGTATAAGAGTGTATTTATTTATGAACAGTTAACAATGTCGTGTTATGTGGGATTCAAAACGGAAGTCAGTATTCAAAGTCATACACTTGAACAACAAGTATAACTGCTTAGTGATAAATGTACTGATTGTGAAAATAAACAAAATAAATACAAAAAATATCAAAAACTATCTACAAAATAGGTTTATTAGGCCTATCTCCACAAGTTGGAACTGTTAAATGACTTTCATAAGATTATAGTACGAAAAGGATTTATTAATCCCATTTAGATACTAAACTTTCTGCGAACAACAAAGATGTACTGCTTAGTAGATGTATACTCTCTTTTACTTAAAAAAATTAACTTAAAATATAAAACTTTGTAAAATTATCTCATGTTTTCATTTCAGATTGTGTACTAATTTTTAAGTTAAAAAATCAATAATTTTTTTCCGTAAATTTCAAAAATGAGTCTTAGACAATTAATTCATGCATTATAGTCGGTTAACATTTTGATATCCTTATCATAGGTGTATTGAAAATGGAAATCCTATGAAGTGGAGAGAATATCTTTTATTATCCTACATAGTCAAATTGATAAGAACTTTGTAACTGTGTAGTAAACATTTGCAATAATAAAATTAAACCATAATTTCAGTTTATAGATAAAAATCTACTGAAACGACAAAACGTTTCCATAAAAATGAAAAAGCCAAAATAAACTTTTAATAAACATGAGCTTTGATATGGTTAACTAATTAAGCTAAATTTATTTTGTCGTGATTCAGTAGAACAAATATATGATTTATGTACCTGACAGTACGTCTATGAATGGGAAACCAATAAAAAATATTTGATTATTCCGTTCCGTTTATAATCATCGTCTTTCATTTCAAGCCAACGAAAGTTTGTCAAGACATAGATAAGATACCTAAACGATACTCTGTTACTGTAAAGTTGGTGTGTATAGACGTATGGATTACAAGTGAATACTTTAAGTTAAATGACATCACTTTATCGCGCTATAATGCTTTTTGTTCATTTGGTGTTATTGTTGACTATTTAAATGTTATACGGATGTCTTTACATAGTCTAATTACTTAAGATAGATAGAAGTTAATGAATAATCACATACGAACTATTTTCATTTTGTCTAGGTACTCCTTTATCTGTCAGGTATACTGTGTTGTTTGCTGTTTTCATAGAAATGATATCTAAGATAAAAGTATCCGTCTGTATAGGCTTGTGTATATTCCTGTATTGCATTGAAATCATCAAGTGGTCGAAGCTGAACAACCAGCGAAAACCTTGAAGCGCTGGACAGGTGCTTCACGCAATTTTGATACTACTTAAAAGTGCGTGTACACGATTCTGCGAAGGAAAGTCAAATCCTGGACCTTCGGTCTCGAGTAAGAAGACTTAATTTCAAGAGCTATGATAAGTGACTTGACAATGTCGAAGTCTACTTCAATCAGTCCATGATAACGTGAGACCATCTATTGCCTTTAGCGGGCACCTTCTTCACTCTTAACATCCTTGAACCATCGACTGTAAGATAAAACTAAACTGATTTCCATTTCATTTTAGTCAACATCATCCCTCTCTATTCTTTTATCTAACATCAACCTCTGATAAACCCCACTGTGCACAATATTCTTTGCATAAATTCATATTGTGTATTCAGTCTGTTTTCCGAGATCAATAGTATGTTAAAATACTATTTATATTAGAATAGTCGAATGATGTATGAACTAATGTAAAAAAATAGTGATTTTACAATATGTAATTTCTAATTTAACGTAATTAAAATTACTTCCATTTTTAAACAGGTTACGTCACTTGTCTAACATTTGATAAAATGTCAATAAGAAAATGGACATTTTGTTTTAATATATAACCAATACTCATAGTTCTAATGGAATATAATTGGTGATCTTAACTGATTGTTTGAAAATTGCCTTATAAAGAACATGAACATACTAAGTTTTTGGTGAAGAGTTTATTAAAAAAATCTATAAATTAATAAAAATATTTTTATAGTTAAAATCATGAGTCATTTGAAGCTAAACCACCAAGTAGAACCTGGAAGCATTGGACGGCCGTTTCGTCCTACTATTGCACTCTTCAGCGGTGCACATCCATGATTTGGCCTCGAAAAATTCGAACCCAGGACCCATCAGTCTCGCACCAGAGCACTTAACCGATAGACCACTGAGTGGACATCCGATGGTGTTAATGTCTAACTTCAACCATCCGACGAAGTTGAGCAACCATTCATCAATTGTCTTCAGTGAGTTACTGTCTCACAACATATGTGGTTGAACTCCACTGGTCACTGCTTTCCACTAGAACTCAAGGAAACATCCCTTGAAGTCAGTCACTAGTGAATATATGATTATAGATCAGAAGGGGTTTTGTGTAGATTTGAGTATATTTATATTTGAAATGATGAGTGAATTGAAGCTAGACCACCAAGGTAAACCAGTGCCTCCAGGTTCACCTTTTGATAAAAATATTTTTATAGAAAATTTATAGAATAGATATGTGATTTCTTTAGTGCCAGTTCAAAATTGATGGTAACAATATAGATGTACTTACTGTTTGTTATCTTATAGATCTTGAATTTTAAAATTACCTTATATATTTCATTCTGGAATTTTATTCTTCTTTCTCTAGTCATATTACTTTTGTTGAATCCATTCTTTTAGTATTGGTACTAAGTTTACTATTTTGTCATTTGTCTTGATAATCTCATCGTACCACACTGATTCAGTTTGATAACATGAACCAATTCATATATGTCTAAGAATACATGTTGTTTTATGATTTACTGATTATTGAAAATCAACCACCTCTAAAACAACATTTCATGTGAGGTTGAATATTTTTTTTTTGATGAGAAGTCTGTAACTAGGACAACTTTTAGAGGATTTGCATTATAATTGTTGCTTTTTTCTTTCTGAACAATTCACTATAGTTTATTTAATTTAAACAATACATTGAATTTGTAATAGTATTATTTGCTTGAACAGTTTTATGCGTCAATATATATTCAATAAATGATGATAATTTTTTTTCTTTATTTATTTAAGTAGAATATTTTCTTCTGTTGAAAATTTCTATATATTCATTTCTATACATGAAACATGATAAAAGATACCTTGGAATGAATTTTCATTTCCGAGTGATCTTTTTTTCTGGATTATTGCTGGTATTAATATGTCTGTAACAATAAGTGAATAATACGGATTTTTATCTGATGTACGGACGTTGTGTTTGTTAGAAACGTCATTGGTGAGGTCAACTCTTTGTTGAACGTTTAAAGTCCACTGAAAATATGTGGTAAATTATCTCGCATTCGTAGTATATATTAGACACAAAAATCATTTATATTCAAATAAGCAATGACTTTATGCACCAATGCATTATAGTAGTAACGTATGATACAATAATGATTTATATAAGTATTTGATTTTCATTTATGAGAATGTTTTGAAAAGCATTAAAGTATACCATCTGAAATCCTATAATTAGCGATAGGAATATATATGTGAATTCGGATAATTGTTATACCGATTGGGTGCGTGTGTGCCCCCTTTAATATGTGACGTAATAAGACCACCAGTTGTTATATCGATTAAGTGCGTACGTTCTTGTCCAGTTGATATATATGACGTGATAAGACCACCAATTAGAGAGCAGTGAATTTATTGATCGCTCAATGATATGCAAAACTAGTCTTGACTAGTCTTGAGTACTTATCAGTCCTGCGATCTGCCTAGCCCAGCCAGTTAAGTCCAGATCACCAATATCAACCTCTACAATATGAATCATTATTCAAAAACATACTGAGTTTATATACCAAACAAACTGACCACATCGTTCCATAAAATAGAAAATAACATCTGTACAAGATTTGGTCAAATGTGGCTGTGAATAGGGGGAACAGTAATCAATATACTGGGGATACTCAAGAATGGTAAATTGTATAATAATAGTTCATAGGTCAAAATAATGCTTATAATAAGAGGAACACGAATACAAATAGTTTAGTTACTTAAAAATTCTACAATAGGAAATATACATATCATATTGGTCCATAAATAGTTCTCAAAGTTACCATTCATAAATCTGCACGGGATACAACAATAAATCATTCTGTATAGTTGATGAGAAACAATGAGCTAAATTTTCATGACCAGTAGAACTCTCCTGAATTCTCCAGTGGTATGTTATTGCTCTGCCATCACTAGTGATTCAGTTCTTATCTTTCAGTGCCACAGTCTAAAGTTAAAAAAGATTTATACCACTTAGTTCTGAAACCATCTGTCATATGAACTGAATTTACTGTCTGGCAACATTTTCATATGCTTATATAGATGTGTCCATTCAAAAAAACAGCTAAGTGTTCTCAACTCATCATGAAATCTGAAACACATATTTTATATACGTCAAATTTTTATTGAATAAAGGTGGTGCTTGCTAAGTTATATAAAAATCATAAGCTCGACTCTGTTTGTAGACGTTTCTGACTATTACTAAATGAAACCTTGGTTAGGAAAGTAAAACCGTTCAGCATTTTTTCACTTTTACTATTTCTATGAATAATATCAGTTGTTAATTAAAAGTATTTTCAAAGATGGCAAAATTGTTATCATAAATAAAAGTAAGACTTATGTTTCATAACATCTTGTCAAGTTCAACAATTCTTACTTTCTACCATAATGTGTATATCTTTTTTGTAAAATATTTAGTTCATGAAGTTAGAATTGTGTTAGATTCACAAGATTACGATTATATCATACCTCATAAAGGATTAATCGGATTCCATTTATGGTTACATCCTAACGAACAAAAAGCATCTTATCTTCTTGATCTAAAAGACGATAAAGATAATCTGTGGAAAAATACAAAAAATGAAAACGCAGTAGATTTAAATTCATTACAACAATCAAACATTGTACAATCGAACGAGATAACTGTTAGTACAGAATTTCAAACATTGATACGTGTGGCTTTAGATATGAATGTGAGTTCATACAATTTTAATTTACATTCAATATCACTGTTTATGTTAAAAGAATAATTATTGTCTGTTTTACTTCACGAACTAAAATTAGTTAAATGGTCGCTGAAAAACAAGGAGCACTAAATAGTTCTTTGGTCCTACTATAGAGATTCTCAGTAATGTACATCAACTGCCTCATTAGGGAACGACTATTAGGTTTAAAGGAGTTGATACTCAGTGGTGTACATATTTGACTGCTATCAACTCTATGTCCACTGCTGACTAATGTAGAAAGGTAATCCAAGAGGCTTTAGTGTGAAGTCGTGACTAGTGAAGCTCAACCATGCCGGGTTTATGGTGGTTACCCACTGGTAACATTACAATATTATTCCTAATATTCCTAGGATAGAGTAACTGTCCTGTGATTGCCAGTTTACTATAGTTGTCTAACTAAGGCAAGTTTATGATGTAAACTATAAAGTTCAGCGATCTCCACAGACTTCTTACCGCCATAATTATCTTACCAGCCAAAACTTTGGTTCCCAACAAGTGAACAAATAAAGACATGAACCAAGAAATTTGATAGGAACTAGATTATGTAGAGATATCTTTCTTCAAACAAGAACTATATTATACGTATTGAAAAACTGTCTGTTAAATATAAAACTCCAAATATCCTTTGTTAAATTTAAATTGCCTGCTTCGTATAAACAGTTGTCTATTTCTGTTTAGAAAAACATATGTAAACGTAAAATTCTAGATTGTTTTATCAAACCTCTACCGATATAGTGAATTATAAATCAGTATAAGACGGCCATGATCCATGGGTTGAAATTTACTGACAAGCGGCAGCCAGATTAAATTATTAAATAACTGTAGTTACATCTGTAAACTGTGAGTTGCAACACAGCCGCTTAATTGTGTTGTGCTCGTTGCAGAAAGTTTATAATCCTAGTGCCTACTGCCGTACAGGCTTATAGATAATTTTTGCTATTAAACCTCTAACTGGGACAAATCTCGTTGGTTTTAGATTGTCAAATGTGGTCAGTCCATATGAGGAATTTTCTTCTAATGTGATGATAGGATGTTTAAATAGCAAGTAGTTAAGCTGACTTATGAAGAAGAATAAGGTATTTGTTCTGTATGGAACGACATTCGTCTGAAAAGAATTTTATTTCATGATTTCGTACTATGTCAGTTTAAAAACAAATTACGCCATTTTTGTGTTCAGTAAGACGTGAAATTTCATCATATTTCATCATACAAGAAATGCTATAAAACTAACTATACCTGAGACTTTAGTTGATGAATCTTAATGGTCGGTCATATTTTTAAAAAATACGAAATCATTGTAAAGTAGCAAACGACATTTTGTATGTTTTATCCGTAAGCATTCTATCAGGATCTGCGAATTCCTATTAAATCATATCAATTATCAGATATACCTTGACGTATAGTAACGTTCGTACATACTTACTTATATTCAGTGATGATTATCGTCACTAGGTTTGTGGACACTAATTTCAGTATTTTGCGCTTTTGCAAACTATACAGTATTTTGATGTTCGACTTGTAAAAATCGTATTTATTTGTCATTCAACGATAGTTTGTCAACCGTTGGAACATTTTGAATTTCTATTAAATCAGTATTTTCGTTAATACCACTAACTATTTATACGAGAAGAATATCATTGCGAAGACAATGATCCAGTAATATTGAACACACAAGGGATCATTTCGTTTGGCCGTGGAACCCTTAAAGTATCAACTATGAAATAACATCTGAAAGGCGATATAAGCTATTAAATTCGACTAAACTATTTCCTATCTGGAACAACAATAATCTTTCAAGTGACCACATTCATTAGAGATAATAACCATTAAATCTACTCATTTATAAAAGGACAAGCTTATTCTTTGGTAATTACATGATCTTCATTCATTAACATAAGTACTCCAATAAGTTGTTTATCAGTCACGCCAGTCTTTTTTTTCTCTAAGAACTACATATTAAAGTCTTTGAGAGAGTGGAAATGAACGATAATTAGTGAAGCCTATTATTACTTTATCAAAATGTTAGATCAAAGTTGGCTCTGTACTTTCATGAAACTGTTCTATCATAATCTTTGCAATTTATTAGGTTCATTACAAACAAACCAATATGAAGAATGGATTGTGTTCAACATCAACGGGATTTAAAGAATGTGACGAAAATGTCAACCAGAATTCACCGACAGGTATCGTTTATCACTTTGTTTAAAATTACTTTAAGTTTGAATTTAAGCATCACAATATCATAAGCTAGTGAACCTAGATGAATTACTGATATTTGCAAGCTACAACTACAATACTGTTTGTAACTAATCTTCAAATTAATGAAAGGTGTAGGCGAAAATACTCGTCAGTAGTGTAACGCAAACATTAGAGCTAAATCAAGAAAATCTTCACATTTTTATGATTTATGATTTAGTAGAAAGAGTAGATAATTTTGTTGTCTAAGCAGGTGCTAATCAGGATAGAGAGGATGACTTTAAGGTTTTTAGCCAAAATTAATAACCAATATCTGGTCCTTATAAAAGCCTGATTATATAGATAGTCTATATCTTTGCAGACAAACACATGTCACTGATTTTTAGATCTGCGAACAGCAAAACTGGCGGAGGAATTCTACAGATTTATTGTTTATATAAAAATACTTTACTCTTTGTGGTGTTATAGTTTGTTTTCCACTAACTAATCATTAAAAAAATCTGTTTTCTGATTGACTAACTATTGACTAATATTTGTCTCGGTTGTTTTCGTAGCCCGTCTCTATACTATAATTTTGCCAAACATTTTTGAAAACAGTTAGAAGTTTATTATTTTTGTGATCACTTTAAGTTAAAATAAACGTTTACCGTTGTACTTTCATGAGCTTACATTATTCAAGTCGAAGTCGTTAGGTGGATGAAAGTATTTATCATCTGGAAGAGTTGAATGAACGGTAGCGGTGGGAACCGAGACCCAGGTTTTGTCCGGCTTGCGACTATTTAGATGGATGTACCCGCACCTTAGTCCCAATCTTCATAAAGGTGATAGAACTTAGTAACTTTTTTGATAAACCAGGCTGCAGTGGGGAAAACCAATTTATTGGGCAATATAAAATTGCACAGTGGCTTAGTAAAATATGGAAATCATACATTAAATACATCATTTGCACAGTTTCTTTAGGTTTTTCCTACATACCCCATCATTCCTCTAATTCTGTTGTTATTTCTATTGCTCTCCTACTTTTTCCTGTTCTCTTCACTTCAATATTTTGATGGCATGCATTCCAATTACGGTCCGTGCTACATACCACTTATACTGTCAGCGTCAATAGCATACACTGCACTTTAACTTCGAAAGCCGAATAGATTTATCATTTGGCTACTGAGTTCAGATAACTACTGGCTTATACAACGGAAACAAATCCTAATTCAGATATAATGATTCAAATCCCCTCATTATTGATAGGCAAAACTATTATCGGTTAATTTTCTTTTAGCGTATGTCCAACCTGTGTGGACTGAATCAGTATTTTCTTTAGGTCACAAGCATTTTAAACCAAAGTTGCATAGTGGCTAGCAGTAGAGTCCTGGAATGAACATAAAAAATTAAGTCACAGATACATCTAGGCAATGAAGTTCAAAGAAGGCGAAACATGAGTCCTAGATTCCCCTGATAGACACCTATCTAGTTTACCGAAATACGGTCATGACTTCATACAATTCTGAGGCGATCCGTTCAGGATGCACATATATCAAAGGACACTAATCAGTTACAGTCATCAACACTAATAAACGTGAATGATCACTACCTTAAAAATGAAAATATTTGTGCTTTCTCAAGAAAAATTGGGGGCTTACAGTGATACAAGTATATAACATAACATGACTTATAGATCAAGTTGGTGAGAAAAATTATAAAAATACGGATAATCATTCCCAATATTTAAATCCTTCAGATGATCAGTATTAAGCTTAAAATCTTTATCTTATGCGAATCGTAATATAACATATTCTTAATTAAGAGGGAGTTTTTGTGGGGATTTTAGTAATTAGCAGAGCGCTTTGCTGAGGAGTCCCACAATAAGACGAAAAGGTCGTTCAGTGCTTCCATGTTTTCCATGGTGGTCTAGCTTCAATTGACTCATGACTTCAACCACATAGCATTCTTAATTGTTTTAAAATATTCACAAATATCAGAATAAATTGAGTACATTACAAACCCATAATATGGAGTATCACAATTTTAAGATCCTCAATACTCGAAATGTGGTTATAGTATTCGAAAGACAAAATATAACAGATATATTCATATATTTCATATCTACTATTCTTAAGTAGAGTATATTTGTTTTGAGTTTCTAGTTGTCGCATGCGAAAAGTTCGGCAAGCTTATCTGTATCAGAAAACACCACCCATAACATACACTGATTTTGATACTAACAACTATATATGTACAAACTGCTGATACTCAACTAGTTTTCATTCTCTCACAATTTCATTTTTAGATTTATCAGAAGATACTATTTGGTTTTCTGATAAGTACAATCATAATGTTTGGAATGCCCGCATTGTATCTGCAACACAATCTTCGAAAGCGACAATAATGTACAGTTTACTGGCGTTACGTAATCCGAATTTATTTATACGAAATAAAATTGATTTGGAACGGGGTCTACGAATACAACAACGTGCATTCATTCAGTTGACTAATGAAACAGCTTTCAATGAGTTACGAAACCTTGTTCCAAATTATGATGATTTAAGAAATCAACTAAGAAGTATAAAACAACTACTACATGAAATTGAGATAGGAATTTGGCGAGATCAACGAGAAGCCTTACAAGTAGGACTGAAATGTTTTTATTTTTGTGATATAAGAACTGTGAAGTCTTGTTCCTCAAGGTAGATGCCAAAATTGTTAACCTACTTTTATAAACAAAAAGTGGAAACATTTTTTTACAAATTAACATTCGTTAGGGGTACACTGAAAAACAAGTGATTAATATACTGTGATTTTATTTCAGTATGGGACTTCTCACCAGTCGGGAAAAATTAATTCACGTCTCTGAAAAAGTACGCTGTTTAGAGCACTGTATCGGAATCCGTTGATCATTAGTTCACTGGGTGTCACTATTGATAACTGACTCACTTATCGAAATACATTAGACCTTATGACTGTTAATAAACTGACCCTATACATTTGATCGATTAATTATAAGTTCAGTATGGTTAGGGACTTCATAGTTCAAATCACGAATCGATATTATACATACCACCACCAGCATTGAATGGTGGCTTCATTGTATATATGAGACTCGTCGTATGGGCGATTCCAAACTCACGAATCGAACCCAGGACATTGTGTTCACTCGAAATGTATTTCAATGTCTCTATGATAAAAATTTATGAGGCAAAGTTTCAAACAGCTAAGAAATGACAGATAAATTTTAATGAAACAGAAATTTGGTTTATACAAATATTCGTCAAGATTAAAACGAATAGCTTGACAAAAATTGGGCGACATTTGGTGAAATTTGGTTGTTCTGACACATTAATGCGACTTAAACTTCATTTTAAATTAACAGTTTTTCAAATATTGTTATATCTCATGCAGATTTATGAATGGTAACTTTGAGAACTATTTATGGACCAATATGATATGTATATTTCCTATTGTAGAATTTTTAAGTAACTAAACTATTTGTATTCGTGTTCCTCTTATTATAAGCATTATTTTGACCTATGAACTATTATTATACAATTTACCATTCTTGAGTATCCCCAGTATATTGATTACTGTTCCCCCTATTCACAGCCACATTTGACCAAATCTTGTACAGATGTTATTTTCTATTTTATGGTATTGTAGTGAACAAAACACTAGTCGGGGACAATCGAATGTATTTAAGCAAAGATTACAGACTATCTCAGTAAATTCTGATAACCAAACAATGAACAGTCAATTTGCAAATTAACAACCAATTGTTTCAATCTTCACAGTTTCTTCTCTAATTCTATTGTTCGTGCATTTTCCAAACGATTGCGCTTCATTTCAGTTCTTTCCTCATCGGTCTATTGCCAAAATACATTCTATGTCTGACTCACACCATATACTACTTATATGGATATAAGTAGACCACACCACTGTATGATGTGGTCAGTTTGTTTGGTATATAGACCCAGTATGTTTTTGAATAATGATTCATATTGTAGAGGTTGATATTGGTGATCTGGACTTAACTGGCTGGGCTAGGCAGATCGCAGGACTGATAAGTACTCAAGACTAGTCAAGACTAGTTTTGCATATCATTGAGCGATCAATAAATTCACTCTTCTCTAATAGGCGGAGACCATCACTTCATATATCAAACAGGGTACACGTACGCACGCACACAATATAACAAACAAATGGACGTACACGTTTTGTTTAAACTATATTTCGACTGTACAGTTACTAATGAACTTCAACTAATTTTCGTTTCAAGGGGTAAAAATATTTTCTCGATCCATCTAAATAGATATTTTTTTCTTTTACATGAAAGATATATAGTCAATAAATATAATCAATAAACATAAGTCCAGAGAAGATTTTCTTTTATCAAGTGGTTTCTCTAAAGAAATATATATATAGGACTCAAAACTATAAAATTTTTGAAACAATATCCAAATAAATTTATGTTACTTTGTATGTTATTGAGTTATTTTAATAATTGAGTCACATTCTTTTGTTTGTCATACATGGCTTTATCATCAAATAAAGTCCTACGTTTTACTTATACTGCAAGTCATTTATTATTAACCAAAAACCAATCCGACATAATCAACTTAAAACTTTGCACTTACTTCCATCTCCTCAAATTATCACACCGTACCAGCACAATGAAATGGAATTATCGAGATAAACACCGAATCAGTACATGCAATACTAGTAATAATAGTAATACGATTAGAAATAAAAACTACCCGCTATCGAAATGATTCGCGAAGGACAAATAAGCAGAATGAAAGTTACAAAACATTTCTGAAACTTGGGTTTTAAGAAAGTCAGAGAGTCAACGAATCTGTGGCATTGTAAGTGAATGCAAGTCATATTATCCAACTTTTCTAACCATTCGTTGCGGTGACCACACCTACTCCTTTCAGGCAATCGGGATCTACCAATATTTTTCACTTCTACAAACTATACACAGTTCAGTTTAAACCGAATTTTATCTCCTTTTACCAGATATTTCCTGAGTCTATTTGCCAGTCACACACAGAGTAAAACCTGACATTTATGAGCATCAGTCCACGTTTCCGCACCATAAAATCATGGAAATGAAAGTATTAAGACAAACCATAGAGTAGTCAAAATACTAACAATATCAACAATAGTAAAAACTATAAGGTATAGAAATAAAAAAAGTGAATGCATCTACGCCACTGTGAAACTTTCTGAGCTATGTCAAACATCGTCTGCACCAACTGATAATGATTGTTGCATGGAACCCTAACAGTTGGTATACATCTATATTGGTCAGTACAATAATACACATATCAGACATAAATGATACAGTGTATGTTTAAAAGGTTTTCATTTTAATTATTTCATAGTTCTAATTCTTTTTTCCAAGTCTTATAGAAATCCTCAATATAATTATTTATTCAATTGTGATGAATTAATCACATTAACGTGATGATATTATGATGATGATGACATGAATAAGTTCATTAGCAATTAAGGCGCCATAAATCGGCTAAATGAAACATGAAATAAACGAATGAATAGAAAAAAAAGTTTATAAAAATGACAACTGAGATGAATATGAATATACTACTGATTTATTATTCAGGTATTTCTAGTACAAAAGTTGAATAAGGTAAAGAGTATGTAGTCTCCTATTTTCAAACAAAAGATAGATATTTTTAGTATACAAGCTAATTAATTATAAATATTTGATAAAACGGGAATAGTGTAAACTAAGCTTTGTAATATATATTATGATTTCATGAATATATTTTCCACATATATATCACATTTCCTATAGTGAATACTGTGCTTCTTCTTCCATTATTCAAATATTATTCAAGAATAAATACATCCCTAATCACTTCTAACTGACTTAAGTGTACTGTGAAATAACTGAATATTCTTTATTTTCTCAAATATTTGCAAGTTCTAATTCACGAGACTCGTGCATTTAATTTCATACTAGGACGAAACATTTATCTCATGTTTCAAGATTTTCAGTGATTCTTCACTTCATGTTAGGTTGACACTTCCAGTTTAAAACATAGAATGAATAAAGAATTGGTTGAGGTAAGACATTAACACCGTTGGATGCTTGCTCAGTGGTCTATCGGTCAAGTGCTCTGGCGCGAAGCTGTTAGGTCCTGGGTTCGAATCTTGCAAGGCGGGATCGTGGATGAGCACTGCTGAGGAGTCCCACAATAGGACGAAACGGCTTTCTAAGGTGGTCTAGCTTTATTTGACTTATGATTTCAAGTAAATATAAAGGATATATTTTTTCAATAAATTCTCTTCAGATTCTACACTTAGATGAAGTCATAAACCATCCAACTAGAATCTAATAGTATTAAGTAGAGTTTCAAGTTGGTTATGATTTCCACTATATAATTCATTTACTACCATATGTATTTGCATTATGCAACGTATTATTCATATCAACTCCATAGAGTACTACAATGAATGGAAAAGGCCGATGGTCATGCAATTAATTGAGTCATTAAAATTGTAGATGTAGTTGACATAGATTGGTCCTGTATTTATGCTGCTTGGTTTTAAAGTTCATGTTAGATAACTTTGAAGCAGTCCACAAGTAGCCCTGTCAGCAAGATCAGATAGATGTCCAATTAAGTTAAAGCCGTTCAGTAATGTGGACTGTCTTTGAACGTTCAGTCTAAATAATGATTTATAATGTTATCATACTTAATTCTTATCATCATTACTACTTGTTGATGCGAAGACGAAATTCACTATGGGAAGGAGGGCAAGCGCACTTGGATTAGAGGGTCGTGAACATTTCAGATAAGTCTTATTTACTAATTTTTACTATTACGAAACGTAACTTCGAATCAGGAGAAAAACTCACAAGACTACGTTAACTGATCAAACAGTTCACTCATATTTCCTTAACGCTACCGTTTAATTATACATACCTTTTTCTCAAATTCTACTTTATTATTTCTGCAGATGACACATACAGATTCAGTCTGTTCAAAAATGGTCATAGGATATTTTGAAACTTTGATCAATATAACACAATCATTTAAAGATGAGTTATGCAAATTATCATCAGTTGATGTTTTCTATACAACTGACTTTTTTAATTGTTTAAATCATAGTCAACCAATGTATGATTATCATTCCCAATTAAATATGAATAATACATATCAGTTTCCATTATATAATCGTTTAGCTTCATTACGATTTCAAACCCATCCAAGAACTAATAATCATACATCTTTAATGCATGATCCTGTTAATCATATTGATATGAATTATTATGAAAATATACAAAATCCTTCATTAATCGAATTACAAATTATCCAATTATTTTTCACGAATATAACATATAATTCTAAGTTAAAAGATGTTTTAAGAAAGTACTTAAAACTTTTATCAGCAAAACGTATGCAGATGGCTACACGGACTAGTGATACTCGGTATGGCCTTTCTTTAACATCTCACTCATCACAATCGTCTTCGTCCACATCTTCAACAAACTCTCTAACACCAATTCCTTCTTCTTCTTCTTCGTCATCAACTTCCGTATCATCACCACCGTTGACATTATTGTCTTCTTCTTCGGGATCAACCATTACGTCCCATTCTCTTCAACCTCCAGACAGAAAAATTAATCAGAATTCATTAAATAACGCAGGAACTAAACAACCATTATGTATATCACATGTTCAAATTCATATCGATTCAATATACAATGTAAAATTAGAAAAGTTAGGAGAAGCTATTGCTACATGTTTACAAAGATTGGAGTTATTTCAAACAAGTATGAATTTGATCATTAAATGGAATAAACAAATTATAGAAACGTTTTCAATCGATTATGAACATTTACAAAAAGTGGATGAAAAAAAGTTAGTATTTGGTTGTGATGCATTGTTTCCTGCATCATATTGATTATATTTTGCAATAGAAACTTGACATAAAACAGATATTGTATTTGCGGTGTTTTAGGGGTTAAGTTTTCGGACACGAAATCGAAGGTCTTGAGTTCGATATCTGATGTAGGTGATGTGGTTGCATACTGCTAACAAATCTCATTCTACGACGAAATTGCTCTACAGTGCTTTCAAATATTCAGTATCCATTCAGCCAAAATCAGTGCGTGATGCTTGCTATGAAATTTGTGTCAGTTAGGTTTAAACCGCTAACCTCTACTTAATTATAAATTAAATTTACTCTAAACCTACTTAAATGAATGTATTTTCATACAGGCGTATGTTGGATTGAGAGGTTTATACCATCAATATTTATATGACTAAGATTGTGATTTTTACTACTGATCGTTAATTATTGTGTGAAACATCCAGTGTGATCTTTTTAAAGCTGCTATTGTTTTTACTTTTAACGTTATCTTCTAAGCTACATCTAATAGCATTATGCTCTAGTCAATCTACTGTTTGTCTGGCTACTTCATAGTATCAAGTATTTAAAACGCTATCGATAAGTCATTAGGAGGTGAGATTTTTGTGTCTCAGATAGTTCAAAAATCTTCAAGTCAATATTGTTTGTTGACTTAAAACGCTTACAACATTCAGATGAGATTGCATGAGTAGATAGCAGGAATTTTATTTTACGATATCAGACACTCCCCGTTTGTATCTGTCTGGTTTTGACCGTACAACAGAAGAATTAAAATGGATTTTGAAAATTTACAAAGCTACACAAAAGACCTAATAATCCTATATAGTTGAAAAATTTACAGCTTAAATGAGTAATAACAGTACATGGTATTTGCACTATTTACCAAATTGACACTAAAAATACCAATAATAGAGAATGGTTATTCCAACCATAAAGAGAGGCGAGTATCCAAAGCGTTCCACATGCTAAGTTTCTCTACCTCAGTAGAAAAGAAGGCCTGACTATTCATCCAAACTAGAGTGATTATCTCAAAAACCACATTTAATCCTATAATCTAAACACACACATACACTCGATTTCAACCCCACTATTTCATAATACAAATGTACACAATTTTCGTACCCACAAATTATGACAGTGATATGTCATACAGGTTCACCTTAAGCAAAATAACGTGGCGTTGACATTTCCAGACTTATTACTGATTGATTGTACTAAAAATATTCACAATTGTATCCTTTGTACTGTCTAAACTTTTTTTAACTTCATTTCGGTCATTTATTTACTCTGAAGAAGTGACCTAAGTTAAGTCACAAAACGTCAGAAATATAATTTTCTGCTTTTTGCACTGTCACAAAAACATATTTGTTATAAGATTATGTTAATGAAGGGTTTAGAAATGTAAATGACAATCAACCTTGAGATGTCTATAATCCCTTACTATTTCTCGAAATTCCTTGATGTTTGCGTATTTTTCGTTGGAATTACATTTAAAATTAGTTTCCCAGTGAGCACACGTTTATAATTAGTTTATAAGGTTCGCATGGTTAAAGTTTAACTTGGAAACAATTATAGTTCATCAATGTCAGTTGAGAGGCAACTACCCACTAACGGTGCTGGAATATGGTTGAACCGTCTCGTTAACTGATTGGAGTTAATAAAGAATATCATCGGATTTCGCCTCTGTGACCCGGGTTTTGAGCTCTCATCGCGAGATCTGATGGACATTCGTTCTATGCTCACAGGGATTAAAGTTACGCTTCGCTGAACAGTAGCTTACTGTTATGAAATAGCTTTCCATTTACTCTCATTACCAGATGGTTTTCTGAACAAAATCTGTTTTTGATTTAAACTATGACATAAAAGAATACTTTTCTACATTTTTTAATACAAGGCACTGTTAAGGTTGTTGAACTTAATGTCTTTATTTCATTAAGTACTGATGTTTTTGTACAACCGTTGAGAACTCGGAGGACATTTAATCAGTTCTAATGAAGAGCTGTGACCACTGAAACTCACTTACATCAGGAGGTGAGATAAATATCACCAGTAGCAATCGACTGGGTTGGTGATTTATCGTGAATCGACTGCAGCTAGAAACAGTGCTCACTGATTCTCAATGGTTGTTTTGCTGACGTTGGTCAGTCACGTATAAACGATACTTATCAAGCTAACTCTTTTGAAACGCATCTTCGGACATTACTCAACCTAGCTTTTTCAAAAGATTAAGGCAATCAGCCAATAGCTTGATCATTAAATATGTATATCGAAATTATTGAAATTTCAATAGAATTGCATCATAAACTATCAAGTAATATAAAATAGTAAAAAGGAAGTTATGTGTTAATCTAGCGGTTAATGAACAAGTATTAATATTCTGATAATTTTCAGAAGAGAGAAAATTGTCTATCTGGTATACATAAAGGACTGAATGATTAAATATTGTGATAATATCGAAATACTAAGTGTGAAAAACTTAAACAAAAGTGATAAATTATAAGTAAATATGGGTAGTAACTAGCGGTGAAATTCAGGACGCGCGTTTCGTCCTATTTGGGACTCGCCTGCCCGATATACCTACATCTCAGAGTTGTTAATGTTCACTCTGGTACTCGAACCCAGTACACTCGCTTCAAATGCCATAGCGTTATCCACTCGGCCACTGAGTCCTGATAGCCACTTGCTTGTGCAATAGGTTGAAGTGAAAAGTACTGGGTTCGAGTTCCAGAATGAGCATCATCTCTGAGATGCAGGAATCCCAAATAGGACGAAACGCGAGTCCTGAATTCCACTGTTAGCCACTATCCATATTTGCTTACAACGCTTGTGAATTAAGGCTATATCGAGACAATACGCACAGTATGAACATACACCAATTAGAGACTGACCAGTTGCAGTCCGAAATATTAATAAGAAGATTTAAACAAACAATACCAAGTGAATTTTAAAGTGATCATTTATTGTGATTGAAAAATAAAATGGAAGTTCATGAAAGAATAAGAAGTTGAATATATATGTATTATAGAAAGATTGAAAAACTAGCTATATAGATTAACATTTTAAAACTATTGTTTTTGAAAATTAATTAATTTTCAGCCTTGTTGCATTCACTGTACAATTTGAAATTATTGGTAGTGATATAAGTATGACACAATTAACACCTATGGACAAATTATTCAATCCTTTTGGTAAGTTAAATATTCACTTCATTTTATAAAAAACAGCTATGCGTGAATTTTAAAATATATTTGATTACCTTTATTGATAATAATGTGTATTTATTGTAAGCCAAAAAAGATTGTGGCTAGCAGTGGAATCCAGGACTCACGTATCATACTATTTAGGACTCGTAAGCTGGATGTGCCTGTACTCCAGAGTTGATCTTCACTTCGGAACTCGAATCTAGAGCAGTTCACTTGAAACGTCATTGCGATCCGCACAGCATGCATATATACATATAAGCGACTGATCCATTGAAGTCATAAACATCAATAGGAAGTTCCAAACAAATAATACAAAAATGTGTATTTATTGAATTGTTAATGTGAATAATTATAAAAAAACTAATTAGTGAGAAACAGTTTATGTTTGTCCCTGTTTTTTTAAAAATATCTCAGCAATATACATTCAGATATCTATGACAATGCTCACACTTTGGAAAACTTTTTCATATAATTATCTTAACTGTAATACAATTCATTCAGTAGAAATTTAACTGTTCGTTTAAAATAATTATTAACATATGTTTAAAAGATCGCGTTGTTGACATTCTTGACTGAATTTTAGTTAGTCTATGTTGTCACATGTGTATCTTGTACGGATAACTTCTACGTCTTCATTTTCTAACTGATTTGGGCTATCAGTGGAAGTCTGGATATATGTTCCATCTGTTAGGGCCTCAACAGCTAGATATACCTAAATATCAGTGTAGATATTTCTATTATGACCTTAACACAATCTATTTTTCTTCAAATGTCCAATTAGTTATCCCCTGAGCTACTGAGTTCAGATACCCACAATCGAAATCGCTGTGATAGCAAAAAAGAGGGTACAACTGTACTGACTTGGGTTAGTTCTGACATTTGCTTTCGTAATTAATCATTTAAGAATCAAAATTCCTTTTCAACTACTAATAGTATTCCTCAATACAATCGTAGTCTATTTGGTTAAAATATTAATTGTTCTATTTCAATATAAAAATTTCATTATTGTGGTTAATCAAGTAAATCTTCTTAAGATGAGTGAAAAGAATTGATTATAAGTATAAAAGTACCATATTATAAACACAAGGTTGAAAATTTGTTCTATATTTTTACCTTCAAAACGATATTATGATGATAGGTAAGTTTCCGCTTTTCCGCCGTTTGAATTTAATTCTAATTTTAGTGGATCTTTATGAGAAAATAGGGTCTCTTAGCAAATGCCTCGATTTATATATTTGATATAGTGTCTACTAGTGGAATAATCTTGATAAGCCTGTCATCCTGTTTGAATATTTGTCAGCTGCACGCACGTACATCCCAATGTTTATTTCAAAACTAAATCAAGAACCCTGTATTTGCCATTTCTGATATATACCTATTTTTCATTAAACCATTGAATGGAATTAGATGCTAACATCTTCAGTTAGCATGATATTTATTATTCTTACTTATATAGTGAGAGATGAAGAGTTCTAGGTGACATTAAGGAACTGCATTATGAAGCTGAAGATATTTTTTCATCTCTATCAAATCAATTATATAAAGACCGAGATGCTTTTAAAATCATCTTCAGATCTTAAGTATTCTATGTGACCACTTTTTATAGAAAATATGGGTAGTGTTTGACAGTGAAAGTAGAAAATTATAACTGTAAGTTTATGCCCCACATGTTGTACTTTAATAAGATACATCTAAACAACATTTATTCATGTATAGATCTTAAAAAAGCAATCATATTAAAAATAAATTAATGCTTATAGTCCATCCGAATTTTTTTGCGGATCAACCTTAACTTACTTAAAAAGACTTGTGAAGAGAACGGGATTTCATGATATATATTACAGACTGATTTTGGTATTATTTAAGTTAAACATGTAACCCATCAAATATTGGCTTAGTGATCTAAGGTTAAAGAGTTTGCATAGGAGTTCATTTATGTCAAGTGTGATATGGTCACCAATTAATGACATTTAAACATGATCAAGCAATATCAAAATTGACTGATGTTAGAGATGTATACTATAGGATACCAACTCATTGGTCCTATGGTGAAGCTCCTGTGACGTAATTTGAAGGTCCTATGTTCGATAAGTGGTGAGGACTAAAAAGATTTCCAGTGATTCATGGTTTTCAATGATTGTTTTACTAACATCAGTTCATAGTTTAAACCATAAAATCCTACTTTACTGTAGCTTGTTTGTATTTAAACTTCATTAATCCAACGTGTTTTTCTATTTACTACATCTGTGTGGACTAAATGAAAATCCGTTTGCAATAAAGGTGAAATCATGGGAATTTGTTTTGGGACACTAAGTCTACTAATACCACTATATTTGATCGTGGATTATTTTTTCACCATGAAATGTAAATCTTCAATCGATAGACAAGGTAAATAAAAATTTCTTTATATACAAAATTCGATTGAATTATTAAACATTTTCATTTGAAAACGTAAGTTAAAGTTTGTAAATTGTGTAATGTCAGGCTAACGTGAAATAAAAATGGTGGGTATTCTATTGAAAGTTTATGACTCTAAGGATTTTGTATTGTTAAAGTTTGATCTAGGTCCAGCTTACAGATAAATGCAAGGTATCAAATTTATCCGACTACATAGATAAAATGACAATTATCATTATAGGGTTGTGTAGATTATTGAGCCTAGACTGATATCATGAATCGATCAATGTTAGAGCACCATTGGGAACTTGGAGGCACTGGTTGAACGTTTTGTCGTAGTATGGAACTCCTCAGCAGTGAGCATCCATGACCATGCACACGTGACTAGAACGTGCAAACCATTAACCTCTGGAACAGTAAATAAATAGTTAGGTGAAGAATCTCATTTCAGTAAATTGAGTTAGAAAGATTAAATTATAAAAATAGCGTTTTAGATAGCAAAAAGTCTAATAGGGATAGGTGTGAATTAATTAGCATTGAAACGTTTCACAAGTCACAGTCATAGAGAGATTTGAAAGATCTCAGCAATAACTGTCTTAATACTTACTTACGCCTGTTACCATCAGAAGGACGATAAACTGCACACAAGCACTCTACATACAACTCTGTATTCGACAAGCCTCCAAAATTCTCTCCATTTCCTATTCATCCTAACACACGTCTGATTCCAATGCCCAACGCAGTGTCTTAATCAGTCGTCTTCATCTCCATTCCCCTTAAGAATTACAACTGCCTCATGATGAAGTTTGATGATTTCCTCAATGTATGTATCATCCAGTTCCAAAGTCTTTCGCTTATTTCCTCGTCAGTTGGATGCTGGTTGTTCTCTCACACAGTGGGCTGTTACTGATGGTATGCGATCAACGGACATTGAGTATTTTGTGTAAACGATTGTTTATAGATGCTTGTATTCCTTCGATGATGGTTGTAGTATTTCTTCAATTTTTACTACCGTACAGTAGGACCGTGTTGACGTTCGTATTGGAGATTGTGACATTGATGTTGATTGACAGTTCTTTTGAGTTCCATATGTTCTTCAACTGTGGGAATGCTGACCTTGATTTGCTACACAATGCATCAATGTATCTAAGATCATTTTTGGTTTAAACTATGAAAATTCCAAATAATTAACTATTTGCATGATTTTATTCTTATTGTAAGTATCACGAATTCAGTTTAAAATCTATCTATTTATCAAATTAAATTTTTTACACTTTGTCCATCACTTCCAAATTGGTTAGTTGTTTGTACATTTTACACTTATTTAATAAAATTTAATTCTTGCTTGATTTCCAGGTAAATTCAAATTTTGTTTGCAAAAATTCATTCAAATCATGTATTTAAGGTTATACATTCATTAGATGTACTTTGAAACGTATATAAATTACCTTTAATTCATCTTGGGTTTTAATTTAGATATAATCTTCGTTCATAAATTGTTTTATCGTTGAGTCGTATCAAATCAGGTGTTTTTCTTTGTCCTTAGCGATAATTGAATTCTGTCGATCAAGTTGAAATGTCCTCATTGGTTTATATGACGCGTTGTTTATTTGTAAATGTTCAGAAAATATTTATATTGGTGTTGACTACTGTCATACGAATAATATTGATTCTCACTACATATATGTTGAGTTCTTTCGTTGATCTGAACTTTAACAGATGAAATATTGTAGTGGAAATGATTGAAGACAGGAAGATATGTCACATTGAGAAGTAAATACTTGACCTAAATATCACCTCTTCATTTCTCAAATATATGATCACTTTAATGACAAACAATTTAGGATCAAATATAATCTTCAGCTACTTGTTTTTTCTTTAAAATGAGGTGTTTATAAAAGGAAAAACAATTATGTCTGTTGAACAGAACATATAGTTAGCTAAACCATTGTCTATTTAGTTTGAGGTCGTACATAGTAGATAAACAGAGAATGCAAATTGTAGTTCAATTTTTTATACTATTAAAATTAATGACAAAGCCTATATGAAAATAATTTTTTCCAGAGAGCATTGTACGAATGATCATTTTCGATACCTTCTGCTTCATCAGGCACCACAGTTAAACATTCAAATTTAAGTAACATGGTATTGCAGTAGACAAAATATTAAAGTCTAATTACTCTATGTTCTAAATTAAAACATGGTAAAATGTACGCCAGTGCAAAATAACCTTATTTGTAATTTTCATAGTTGAAAACGTGAGTCAATTGAAGCTAGACCACCAGGGAAAACCTGGCTTCGATTGACTCACGCTTTCAACTATGAAAATACTAAATCTCCCCAAAAAAACCTTTTTTTGGTAATGTTGAAAAAATGTCAATACATAAAGACTAAAAAAATTGTTTGCCTTAATTAAAGTGATGACATTAAAAACCATATGTAAAGAGGAAATCTGAGTACAGATTAGGAATTGTTTTATCGTTATTGCGATGTTAATAACAATAATAACATTCAGAATAATTATTGATAAGGATGTTATGTAAAATAAGAAAAATTGTAGCATGATTCAACAATCGGAAAAATGACTTGAAGGTGAGTGCTATTCATGATGATGTAAGGAAAGAATAGAATTCTAACCAAGAATGAGATGACCGTAATCAGTGTCAAAGTAATCAGAGAAGTTGAATGTAACTTTTTCACAGGCAGACGTCAGGTTTCTTTGAACTAATGCAAATCTGTTCAGATACATAGAGTACGAGTAATCTTACACATCTTGGTAAATTACTGGGTACTTGATATGGAACTGATAAAGCATCCTTAATTTTGATGTTACGTCCATAAGTATTTAGTTAGAAAGAACAGTACTCTCAATTGGTTTCGCAGTTCCCTTTCTTAACTATGCTGGTACGAGTTCACGAAAGTTTAAGGAAAAGGACTTTTGAGTACAGCCAATGTAACTACCAATTTTGGGAACAATAAAATTGATAAACGCACACAGATGAACTCATTATCGTGATCTTACACTTAATTCGCTGCATCAATATTGGCTTTGTTGAGAAAGTTAGGTGTAAGTTTGTGATATTAAAAGTCATTTTAATAGACTCGTTTATTCGACGTACTGTCATTTTATTTTCTATAACACTTTTGAAATCAAGTCTTGGGTGTAAAATTTTCTTTTCGACTACGGTAGTCTGTATCTTGCTTCTAAGTTCAATTAGGTATTTCTTTGTAACAAATTGTATATATTACATCCATTTCACACAAAATAAATTTGACGAGAGGTCATATTTGTTTTTTTTATACAGTTGTATAAAAATAAATATAGTAGTTGTACTAGGTGCTTGGAAGTCACCATAAAACTCTAGACATAGCTTTCTCACTAGTTGTCACCTTTTACTGGGACGCTCTCAAGATCTTTAGGAAACAGTCACTGTTAGTATCCATAGTTCCACAGTTAGAAACACTGACTATTCAGACTATAAATAATCCCCAAAAGCATTTACGTACTTACATTAGTGTATGAAGTGCATGATATTCAGTGATATCAATGAAAACAGATATTTGGCAAATTTTTCTGAAACCTTCCGAACGTCAAACCGTTACTATTGTTAGGTATTGTTCAACTATCACTTACATCCAAATAAATGCACATACATTTAATTTATACATGCTTTAATCTGGCTTACTTTCATGAAAACGTAACTTTCTAAAGAACCAATTTTCAATTATAGAATAATATCTTCGCCTCTCTTCTTCCGTCTGAGCCACCGATTACTATCATTCGTTTCCATATTCAAAAATGTGCAATTTAAAAGTTAATCAAAAAAATCTACACTTAGTTACAAAGCCCCGGTAATGTTTACTCATATTAATCATACTTTCTAAGAAATATAAACTCATAAATAACTTGTTATATATTTATGTTTCCTTCATTGTGTTTTTCTTTCCCACACAGGAGTTATTTAAGTAGTATCTCAATCAATGAAATAAAAAAAACAAATTTGAACATTGTAAATTGTCTTTCATCTATTCAAATACTAATGTAGAAAGAAAATTGTGACATTTAAATGTAATTGAAAATGAACTGTAAATAGTGAGTATAGAGAAAACATTAAAAAAACATTATTAATTAAAATAATATCCTATCCCATTTTAAAACTAGTTACTGTACATACCTACCTAAATTGTATCGTTTTTGATTATGTGTGTGTGTGTGTGTGTGTTTGAAATTTCTTACTAATATGCCTTGAAATTCTTTTATGTGTATATTTCTTTGATGTTGTCATTATGATTATTATTAATGTTATTCTGTGGGTATGTAAACAATCAACTCTTTGTAGTTACTATAATGTACAGAAGTTTATTATGGTGATCTTAAAATTTCATTTTTCCCTTTATTCTTGTAAAATGAACACTTCTATAATCTATATTGTATATGTTAATTTAAATAAATTATATCGAATCTAGTATTCAAAACAAAAGTAAGTAGACAAGATGGATAGTGACTAGTAGTGGAATCCAGGACGCGCGTTTTCTCCTATTTGGGACACTCGTCCTGAATTCCACTGCTAGTCACTATCCATCTTTGCTTACAATGCTTGTGAATTAAGGCAATATCGAGGCAATGCGCACAGTGTGCACATATGCCAATCAGAGACTGACCAGTTTCAGTCTTAAACATCAATGGGAAGATTCAAACAAACAATACTAAGTGAATTTAAAAGGATGTAGATTTTTAATACGAAAATTATCTTGATACAATACGGATAAGATATAATCATTGAGAAGGTTGATAAATTTGTAAGTTTTGAGACATTGGCAATTACATTTCATTGGCATAGTTACTGAGATACAACCCTATACACAAGACATAAGGAGGTAGTTTTCTTAGAGAGCCACTTCCCAAAATCTTGATGCAGAGGTTTAATGCACAAAGCAGTGGAGCATCTTCAGGAGATACATTCTCATATTAGCCATTGGCCAAGGATAGATTTATTAGCCATTTGATGTTTCAGGATTTTGGTGTTTATGTGGAATAATAGATTGAAAGAAAGGTCTCCCAACTGTTCTTGATGGATCCTGTACGTTTGTCAACTTGATTTAAGCGTTTGTCATTTTCTTTTCGTTCATGCTTTGCTGTAAACGTCACCCCAGCAAAGACAATGTTTGACAATCCAGACAGTGGTTGTAAATGTACAGCCTTATAAGGGTATTTCGTAAGGGGGAGCGGATTATTCTCACCTTCAGCCTTACTTGATCAAGTAACTATTTTTATATCATTAGATTTTGGAACTGTTGTGGACTCAAAATTTGATAAAAAATGGCTGTTGATTAAAAAACATCTTCTAATAAACGTATTATGATCAAGGTCAGGACATATTTCTTTAGGTCAGTAATATTTTTAATCAATAATATTATCTCGGATTAAAGTGAATTTAACTCCATCAGTTCTGTTTGGAACTCCACCTGTAGCTCATTAAGGAGTATCGCTGGTCCAAAACCTTGGTAAAGGAGGAGGGTTTCACATGGGATCACCAACCCTATCCTGTGAAAAAAAACCTTACCAACAAATCGCTAACCAGAAAAAAACTTAGGAACAACTATATGGCACGACGAAGAAACTGACAGGGAAATATAGGGAAACCAGAGAGACCGGCTAAGGAAAAAAAAGAAAGTTGATCTTTGATATTCAAGAACAGAAGAACAGATGGGTGGAACACTTTGAACGAACTCTTGAATAGGAATGGTTACTCGTCGAACTTCGAGATCAACAGGCTGGGTTCCATAAGGATCGGTCGTACACCGACCAAATCACAACAATGCAGATCATCGTTGGGTGATCAATTGGATGGAATTCGTCATTATACGTCAACTTCCTTGACAATAGTAGCGTGGATGAAAGAAACTTACGAAACCTCCTCCGGTACTATGATACACCTGAGAAGATCTTCAGCGTCATACAAAAATTAATACAACGAGCTACACTTCAAGTCGTATATGGAGGACAGCTCACAGCTGCATTCAAAGTGAAGATCGGTGTTAGACAAGGATGCTCACCATATACCATTCCCTTTCTTCTGTTGCTTGACTGGACTATAAAGACCCCCACTTCTCAGGGGAAGCACGAAGAATATGGACAGCTTGGGTGTGTCTAGACTGTTTGGACTTCACAGATATCCTCACTCTTCTATCCCATACACACACAAAAATGGAGATGGATACACAGTGTAACAGCAGTCTGTGCGACAGTAGACCTCAATATACCCAAAAAAATGCAAGATCCTCAAAAACAAGAAGGAGAACACCGACCTAATCATACTTGATGGATAAACTCTGGAACAGGTGGTGAATTTCACGTAACTGGATAGCATCATCAATGAACAAGAGGATCTAATACATATGTAAAAGCGAGGATTGATAAAGCAAGGACTGCATTCATACAGTTGAAGAACATATAGAACTCGAAATAACTGCCAATCAACATCAATGTCACAATCTTCAATACGAACGTCAACACAGTCATACTGTAAGGTAATGAAAATTGAAGAACTACCACAACCATCATCGGACAAATATAAGTATTTATAAACGATTGTCTACACAGAATACTCAATATCCGTTGATCAGATGCCATCAGTAACATCTCACTGTGAGAGAGAACAACCAGCTTTCAACTGACGAGGAAATTAGGAAACGACTTTGTAAGTGGATGAGACATACACTGAGGGACTGATCAAACTTCATTATGAGGCAGATGCTGAGTTGTAATCCTGAAGGGCAATGGGGAAGAGGACGACTAAGGAAAACACTGTTTTGGGAATTGGAATAAGACATGTTTAGGATAAATACGAACTGGTGAGAACTTTGGAGGCTTTTTTAATGCGAAGTTGTGTAGAGAGTGCTGGTGTGTAGCCTGTTCTCTTTCCTGATGTTTAACAGGAGTAAGTAAGTAGCTTCTGTTTCGCACTCATCGGCATCGTAATACTGTAATTGTAGGGAGCGAGCGCTTTCTGACTCAATTATGTGTGACTCAGTTTCACAATCTAGGATGTTACCAATTTGACATTTGAATCACAAATGATCTTGACTGTTAAGCTACAATCTTTGTAGTTGATCGAATCTTAAGTACTGACCAGTATCATATCTGTCTATTCCTTTTTTTAGAATCATATTTTCCAAGTTCCAAAGTGATTACTAGTCTATGTGACGGGACGTCTCACACACTATGTTGTAGGGTTAGGTTGTTAGAGCAATCAGACGAGACGATCCCATAAACATAAATTTGCATTGAAGAAGCTCCTCTGTGTATCCGTAAAATCATTTATTTAATTAAAAACCCATTCACTACAAAAGAAAAGTGGTTACGTATCTTTAAAGGTGAACGAAAAAAGTCTATTTAGATGACACCATGAATAAGGAAATAGAGCTCATTAATAACATGCTGATAGGAATGTTACATGTAAAGTATCTTCATGAAGTACATGTATACGAATAATATAAAGATGATGATATGGTCTATTCGGAAGAAACTTTATCCTAAAAATTACAATTTAACGGGATTGTGGCCAGAGATCTTTTCAACTGCTGACTAATGGGATTGGTTAGTACGACGTTTACGGAACTACATGGAATCAACCCTTCAACTCTATCCTAGGTATTATATTTCATTGTTATCATTCATTTAGAAGTTTCGCTAGATGGTTTCACATATTTTTATAAATATCCACATAAATATGACCCTATTTTAACGTCTGATAGAAACCACATTGGAAACAACAATGTTTGCGTACGTGCGTAAAGTTACTCGTTCACGATCTACTTTGAGGCCAAATACATAATCCTAAGTTTTCTTTGAAAATGAAGTACATTTCAGTCTCTGAATTGAAATCTATTGGTTATCAACTTCAAGGTCAATCAAATCATAATGTTGTGTATGCTATTTATGACGACTGGCATAATAGTATGTAACACCAATCACAAATGGAACGCTTAGCAGCAGAAGGTTGTGAAGATCGAATTGAAGAGAACGGGAAGATAAACAGGGAGTAATTGTACTAACTAGAAGAATGGCGGAAAGATGAGGTTTGTAGGATACAATCGATGAAAGATGTACTTTTGAAGTACTTAATGCAAGGTTTGCAATAAATAACAAGTTGGTTGACCTAACTTCAGTTCTCGTACGTTACACTAACATTGCATAATAATCATTTGTTGAGATCTCGGTAACCTTAATAAACTTTTTTTACTGATAGTATGACTAAAAGTGAATGAAATATATTGTTTCAATCTTAAATTAAATAATTTATTGTAAAATGGTTTGTAATATTTCAATGTAGACAGATCACAGCAATTACACTAAATAACGTTACATGTGAGTGTACATATTAACCTTAAGCTGTACACAACTAATACATTCTTTCGAAGTTGTAGAATATCGTTATGTACAGTGACATATTTGAGCGGTAAACACTTGTTTATTGATTTGAATGTACTATACTATTGTATGGTAATATTTACTTGCATAAAATGCCATAGTTAATGGTCGAAAAGAGAGATGACATTTTATATTCAGTATAAATCACTGAGCATCACCATGCCTAACAACATTAAAGCCCTATTAAGGTTAATACATGAAACAGTATATGAGAAACGCGTAATTAATATTAGCGTTTACTGAAAATACATGGTCCGTTATTAAAGTAGATGCGAAACAATTAAGTAACTAACTATGAAGCGTGTAAATTATGATTACAATCCCAAACTACAGTTCTATTTTACTTCAAAAAGTCATAGAAAAGTATTTTGCTTGTTTAAAAATTATTTATGACAGCTAGGTTATCATATCTCTAATGAAGAACTTAATTCAACTGCAGACATTCAGTAAGGAAGAAAGTTTATTAAAACAATTGAACATAAGGAAGCAGTACACGTGTTAGAAGTTTTATTAAGACAGTTGAAGTGAACGGACTTGCAGACAAGTAGAAAGTCATTAGATATATTCAGCTATCCTAATTTCAAGTTATAATATGGTTTCTCGTATAATTAGGTCAATCAGACATAGGCTAAAAGATAAACGTACACTGTTGGTCAAGATGTGGCTTCTTTCATCTAACTAACTATAAACCATAGGTTAAAAATACGGCTTTACTTTCTAAGGGGAAAA